AAGGAGAGGCTCGACGAGGCCCTGGGCAACCTGGCCTAGTTGGGGGTGGCCCTGCTGACTGCGGGGAGGTCGTACTAGATGGCCTTTGGAGGTCCCTTCCGGCCTGGGCAATTCTATGATTCTATGAAGTACATACCATGCAAGCAGTGCATCTATATCAGCCTCAAAACTACTGATCATCTTCTGCATCCTTCCTTATTAGGCAGAGCTGTCCCCTTGTCTGTCCCCCTGCTGCAGGGAGCACAAACAACTTCAAGATGCACAAAGGGTTCAGTCTTACCAGCAGGTATTCAAACCACTCTGCCCCCATCCTCCAGTCCAGCCCCAGGTCCTTGGTGAGAAAGCTGGCCACGTTCTGCCTCCCTCTGTTAGACACGAAGCCGGTGGCAGCCAGCTCTCGCATGTTGGCATCCACAAAAGGAACCCCTGTTTTGCCCTCTGCAGGGACAAAAGACATGGGATATGATGACATTTTTGGGGCAACTCATAAACCAACCTGTGTTCACGCATTCCCAGCCACCCAAGCAGGAAAGAGAGTGCCAGCGTACAGCAGCAGGGAGAGATTTCAGTGAGGTTTTAGCCGGTGTAAGATCCACTGGATATCAAATCAACGATACTGAAAATTAAAATGAGGAGATATCTGGCAAGAAAAAAAAAAAGTACAGAAAAATCTCAGACTGGAAAAACAATCAGGTGGACTGCAGGGAATTTCACAGAGCAAAATAAACACACACACATTAATGAGATGGGCCAAGAAGAGGAAGATTCTTGACAGGGGACTAATAGCAGAGAGGGGCAGCCTGGACAAGTCTAATCCCTGGACAAGTCCCCAGGGATTAACACCTGAAAAGCAGAGAGCCTGTTTGCTAAGAAAAAGATTCATTTGCACCTCTGTGCAAGTGGACACATATGTCATTAATGTGAAGAAAGACAGAGAGGTGTGTATTTCACTGATTCCCACACCAAAAGCACACTTAGCCAAACTTGTGGTTTCTACTGACCTTTCCAACAGTCAAAGAGCTGAAGGTCCTTTTTCCAGGGGACTTCTTTACTTTGAAGCCCTATTGAGGAAACAAAATGAACTGCTAATGAAGACAAATGCAGATGCAGGCAGTTATTAATAACACAATGACAGCCAGAGGCACCGTGGTTGACACACGAGGTTGGGGTGAAGCTAGCCCTCTCAGTGCTATTACAAACAAGCCACGTTCCTTCTGCAAAGCTTTAGAGATGATCTGTTCCTCCTTTCAAGTGTTGCAAAGGGGTGTCTTCTGCACAGGGAGGGTGCTCAAGCTCTAACGGATTTTGATTATTTGTTTTGTTGGTGTTTGCTCTTCTGTTTTGTTTTTTTTTTCACTTAAAAAATGACTCAGACCTCACAAGTGGCCAGAGATGGGCTCTGGTGCATCCAACACCGTCTGAGATGCCACAGGGCATCCCAAAGACCCACACAGGCAGAAAGAATATCTGGCATCCTAGGATTCACACTGCTGGGTCGGTCGGTTCCTGCTCTGTCCCAGATTTTCTGGTGAACCTGGGCAAGCCCAAAGCCTGGATTGTCTCCAAAGGCAGAGTGACTCCGGAAACAGCATCTTTACTCTTATTGTGCTGCTGTTTCCCACTGATGTCTTAATAATAATCCCCATATCTAATGAGATTTGGAGCAAAAGTCTCAGTGTCTACACTGTATTCAGCTCCGTGGTGTTAAAGCACTTCTGCACTAATAGTGAGATCCCCCAGCAACAGCCCAGGGGTGACACAAGAGCTAAGAGCAGAACATTTGTACAACACAATGCCAACAGCCTCTTCTCTTATTTTCCCAGTTGTAAGGCTGTACCTTTCTTCTCCAAATACAGGGATCCATACACACCTCTTAATGAGAAAATCCTTTTGCCATACTTCAGGGCCACAAATCGGAAGTAATCCCGCCACAGCAGTTCAAACAGGACCCTAAAACACAAAGTCATGTCTGCATTTCAACGTGGGTCAGATAAAATTACTGAATTAGGTTTGGCTTCCACAGCACCCGTCATTAACACCGCGAGGTTTATTCACAACGAGCGATTTCACATCCCTTCCTGTGACACCAGTTCTTGCCCCAAGCCCACGTATCTACTGGATGACTACGGTGAAAGCAAACACTTGGGAAGCTTTCCTTAACTCCCAAAGCAGAGTTTCAGGAAACCTGTTTCTCCTCTGTCCCTACTGGGATGTAACTCTCCAAAGAGCAGGGCGAGGACCTGATTCAGCTTCGCGCTTCCGCATGAGCAAGCGAGTCAGCACATTCCTAAAAGCTGTGTGTTGTCAGGGACTTAAAGGCACCTTTCCAAACTGACTGCACCTCGGCCTCTGAGATCTCCTTCAGCTCTCTGGAATATTGGAAATATTCCGCTTAGCTAGTGTTTTTTATAATTATTTATCACTTTAAACTGCTCAGATCACTGTGGCACTCCAGCTGCAGGTAGGTTGGCTGACTATTAGACAGAAAAACATGACTATGTCCATTTCTTGAAATCCTTCCTCTCTTAATTATCTTCAGGGGAAAAAAAAAAAAAAAAAAAAAAAATATATTTCAAGAGGCAATAGGTCACCTCACAGCTGAGATAGTTACTCTTCTTAGATATAGAAAAGCTCAAAGTAAGTAGTATTCTACAATTCCAAAATATTATTTTTAGGGGAAAAAAAAAAAAAAAAAAAAGCATATATTTCAAGAGGCAATAGGTCACTATTTTATCCATCATTTGAATTTTAATGCAATTGAGTATTTTGGCCAGAACAGTTGGCAACGTTCTGCCTGTTCTTCACCAATCACTGCGCTGTTTGACACATTGCACCGAAGTTCTACAGTTTGCACAGAATTCCTTGCTTGGGTTTTTTCCCATCCAGGTCTAGTGTTAGGCCAGGCTCTCACATGAACCTGCCTCTCCATCAGAGCTCCCTCCCAGGCTCCAATCGAGCGTCTGGGCAGATCAGGGAGCATGAGCAAGTTCAAGGTCAGCCCAGGGATGGATACACTGACCTCAATCACCAGGTGATTGGTACAAGTCACACGGTTGCTGAGCCTTTTGGGTGAAACCCTGCTCATATCCTTGGTGTGAGAAACCCTCTGGCTTTTATTTGTAAATCCTTCTTCTTCCTTCCTGTCCAGCCCATAGTAACAGCACAGAGAGGGATGGGGCTGGTTTACAGAAATCAGTTTTAAAAATCACAACCCACTATTTGCCAGCAATAATAATGACAACTAGCATTAATAATCTAAAGCCTCTGGATGTCTAAGGCAGACTAATAAATCCATATAGAAAGCGAACTGCAACGCAACCCAGAGGAACCAGACAGGAGGCACAGGAAAAACAAACATTAATTAAGAAGAAAGTTAACAAACCACTCTCTCCTGTGCATGACATGCCCATTTGCTTTTGAGAGAAAACAAGCCACGGTCATCACGCAGGGACGTACCAGTATGTGCTCTGATTTGCCGTTCTCTCTTTTTCATACTTCTGAATCTGCTCATAGATGTATCGAGGTGAAATGCAGCCCAGAGCCAGCCTGAAAGGAGAAGAATGATATCCTGAACGCAGTGCAGGACTGAGAGTTTGATGTCTGCATGGAAAGAGAGGAAGGGGCAGCTTTGTGCCTAGAGCTGTTATCCGAAAACTTTTTCTCCATTTGCAGTTCTGACACAAACAGCTTTAGTCAAGTTGTATGACTTTGTTGCAACCCTTCAATGTGAGAATCACAATCTCCCCCCTTCCCAGCATCTGACTGTTACAGGAGTCTCCGACCTACTGAGATAAATCATTTTACACAAGTTTTACCTACAAGACTTCCTCTGCTGGTGACCTAACACAACAATGACAAACCCAGAAATGGATCTCAGATGTCAAACTCTAGACGAAGGTCCCACCTTCTCAATAGCCTCCCCTTTTACTACAGACCTATTGATCCTAAGGGCTCCTTCTCCTGCAGTGCCTCAGTGTCTCATTTGAACAAGCACAGAAGGCAAATGACTTGGTGAAAATCTCAGGCAGGGCAGGAAAACCAGGGAATCAAACCCAGCTCTGGCATTTCAACCCACTGGGCTCCTTCCCTTTGTTCCAAATCAGGGCTGAGCAAGACAGGAAAGAGCTCGTTGACTCCGAACCCCATCACAAAGGGTGATAAGGAACAAATTTTACCTTGATTTTCCTAGAAATGTATTTTACTGCAATTACCCACTAAAGCTCATGGAAGCATTTGATGTTCTGATGAATTTTGGAAAACAGGAAAAAAGGGCCTGAAGAGTTTTTCCTTAATTGTTGACGAGTTCTAACACTTAGAAATGGCCAGTATGAGATGTGAATGACTGGCTGCCATCTGAACTGGTCTGATTTTGATTATCTGACAGAGGAACCCTTTGGGGCAGGCAGATCAGGACTGTCTGCTCTGGGCAAATGGCCAGAGTGGAAAAACTCTGAGTGGAGCCCACAAATAAAGAACTTGTGCAGTGCCAGTGGTCCTGGGATCCTGAAGTGCCACCAGGTGGAGCCATCCCCCGCAGCCATTAAAGCACAAAGCCAGTTGAAAATAAGAAATCCTGACCTGTAACAGCCTCAGAAAATTGTTTCACGTTGCAATTCTGTCGGGAAAACACTCCAGATGTCCGCAGCATTAGGCTGAACTGGGCTCTGCTGCTGCAGTTTCAGTCTGGAATTAACTCTGCCCCTTCCAGCACCAGAGACTAAACCCTCTAATTAGAAGCCATCATTTTTACCTAAATAAGAGATCCTTTTGCAATAGGACTAATCAGAAGTGTCTCTTCACCCCACAGGAAAACGGAATGGCCATGAGGTGAGCTGACCTGCCCCACAATATTCAGTGAACCAGGACTGAATTTAGTTCTGCTCCAGCCCTGTCAACACACAGAAGTTCTGCTGCTTCCCTGGCTGCTCTCAACCACCCCTGATACACCAAACAGCACAAAGCCAAAGGATCAGGCTGGTGCCTCTCCAGTGCCCTGTCCACATTGCTGCTCTCATCTCACTGGGCTCTTGGCACTGCACTGCTATGCTTCAGCAATTCCTAATTCCCAGGGGACTGCTACCTGGAAGCACAATAAAGAGGAGCTCTGAGGCTGCTGAACCCCAAGGAAAAGGGCAAAAGGAATCACCCCTCGTCCCCTACCCATTCCCAGTGAGCACTCAGCAGACGGGTAACATCAGGTCGAGGTGGGAGCAGAGAAGGAGCTTCCAGTCTCACAACAAAAATCTTTACCATGGTGCAAATTTGGTTGAGTAATCCATTCCCACCAGTCCATTCCGAGTCTCCTTGTAAGATGCAACCAGGTTCTGTGCCAGCAAAAGAACAAAAGGTTTTAATACTTTACACGCAACCTGCTGAATGTTTGCTTTCATACTGGAGCTAGAGCAATCTGGCAGGGCTGGGCTCCCTCTCATGGCTGCACGCAAGGATTAGAGCTGCCAAATTGCCTCTCAGCGCACCGAAATTAATCAGGCCAGCAATTTTCATCGTGGCTCTGGGACACATGTCACTAGCTACGCTCCCCGCTTCAGCCTGCAGCACGTTTCTTTCTAGATGTACCATGAACCTGCCTGTGCTGCTCCCTGCCCATACCTGCCTGATTCTGGATCAATAATCCACTGACAAGCACCAGTTCAGACTCAGGGGCCAGTTCCTTTGACCATGTGGCTGCTTCTTTGGGTTGGAGAACCACAGTGTCTGACAGCACCCAACACTCGGCTGCAGGAATCCTGATCACTGCTGCTTCTGGGCAACCCACATTACATGCAGATCTTCCATTCTCCAGGATCTCCACTGACAACACAGAGGACACGGGGAAACCTGATGTCTCCTTGACCCCCTTACCCACACAGGTTACAACTGCTAAAGGGCTGCCTGGCTCACCAGGGAATCACAGAATGGTTACAGTTGGAAGGGACCTTAAAGATCATCAAGTTCCAACCCCCCTGCCATGGGCGGGGACACCTCCCACCAGACCAAGTTGCTCAAAGCCCCATCCAGCCTGGCCTTGAACACTTCCAGGGATGGGGCAGCTTCTCTGGGCAACCTGTTCCCTGGTTGTCTCACCACCCTCACAGGAAAGAATTTTTTTCTGGTATCTAATCTAAATCTCCCCTCTTCCAATTTAAAACCATTACCCCTTGTCCTGTTGCTACACTCCCTGATAAAGAGTCCCTCCCCATCTCTCCTGTAGCCCCCTTCAGGTACTGGAAGGCCTCCCCAGGTCTCCCCAGAGCCTTCTCCAGGCTGAACAGCCCCAGCTCTCTCAGTCTGTCTTCACAGGAGAGGTGCTCCAGCCCTCTGATCATTTTCGTGGCCCTCTGGACCCGTTCCAACAGGTCCATGTCCTTCCTGTGTTGAGGACTCCAGAGCTAGGTGTCCTGGACTTACAGAGCAGGAAGACAGAGTTCATTTTCTTTATAGTAGCTTGTGTGGTACTGTGTTTTGGATCTGTGATGAAAACAGTGTTGATAACACAGGGATGTTTTAGTTATTGCCCAGCTGCTTACACAGCATCAAGGCCTTTTCTGCTCCTCAGACTGCCCCACCAAGCGAATGGGCTGGTGGTGAGCAAGAAGCTGTGAGGGGACACAGCCAGGACAACTGACCCTCAGCTGACCAAAGGGATATCCCACACCATATGATGTCACGCTCAGGGATAAAAGCTGGGGAAGAAGGGGGAAAAGGGGAATGTTGGGAGTGATGGCATTTGTCTTCCCAAGTAACCATGATGTGTGATGGAGACCTGCTTTCCTGGCGATGGCCGAGCATCTGCCCGCAGATGGGAAGTAGTGAAAGAACTCCTTATTTTGCTTTACCTATTAAACTGTCTTTATCTCAACCCCTGAGTTTTCTCTCTTTTACCCTGTCAGTTTTTCCTCACCCCCATTGCAATTGCAGTCCTTTAGGCCACTAGTCACATCTCCAAAACAGAGGGACTACATTGCTGATGACATGGTTCAGGAAAGTAGAAATGAAAAAAATCAAGGTAAAGGAGCTAAAAAACTGTCCCAATTCCCAAAAGTCAATGGAAAAAAAGACTTAAGAGGGATGGCCACTAAACTAGGTTCCTAAGTATTTGGCTTACATTCCCAGTTCCTGGATGACTTCTTTTTTATTTACTTTGTCTCTCTGAAAAACTGAAATAATGCTAATTCCCTCCTTTGTAAAGTGTTATACAGGCACTAAAGAAATATTATTAGGAAGTGAAATTGCAGCCTCACCCACTTGCACAGCCGTGTGTACAAGGGGGAGGATGTAGACAAGGAAACGTATGAGTTACCGTGTCCCAGAAATAATACTGCAGTCTCATTAAAGCCTGGGTCTCTCCTCCACTGCAGGGGAAGGCTGTTCGTGGATCAGTCACAGGATCTGCCACAGAAAAAAAACATCACCTTATTACCCCCTCTTGGAAAGCATCTCAAAAGGTAAGGAGCTTAAAATCGAAGGATATTTAGCAGTAGAGATATCTGCTTTGGGGACATAAAGATTGTGCCCTGGTCTCCCTTTAAAACAAGGGCCACATCAAACATATTAAAAATGACTGACTAAGAGGATGTTTTCTACCCAGCTGCAGGGCAGCTCCTCCATGCAGAGAATTTAGCTTCATTCTCTGTGAGTGAACAGAGGGTTAGTTCCAGCTTGAAGGACAACCACTGCCTTTGGGAGGCCTCCATGTTTTAATTCTCAGTAAGAGACATCTCCAAGTAGGATTTCATGGGAGCAACTACCAAATTAAGTTTTCTTACCCTTCTGTCCCAAATCCTCCATTGTAGGGATACACCCTTCTTCTACCCCTGGAGGCAGAGGCTTCAGCTGATCTGCCATGCGCAGGGTTGGCCGGACCTTCGCCTCAGATTCCACCGCTTTTCGGAAATGGGTGTAGACATCAGGCAACCTGCAGAGATTACACAGCATCTCCTCCAACCCCCCTGCCAAAGCAGGTCCACCTAGCGCAGGTTGCACAGGAACGTGTCCAGGTGGGTTTGGAATGTCTCCAGGGATGGAGACTCCACCACCTCTCTGGGCAGCCTCTTCCAGGGCTCTGCCACCTTCAAAGTAAAGAAGTTCTTCCTCATGTTTAGATGTAACTTCCTATGTTCAAGTTTGTGCCCATTCCCTCTTGTCCTGTCCCTGGACACCACTGAGAAAAGACTGGCCCCATCCTCTTGACACCCACCCTTTAAGTATTTACAGGCCTTGATCAGATCTCCCCTCAGTCTTCTCCAGACTGAAAAGAACCAAGTCCCTCAGCCTTTCCTCATAAGAGAGATGTTCTAGGCCAGTAATCATCTTTGTAGCCCTCTGCTGTCCCCTCTCCAGCAGTTCCCTGTCCTCCTTAAACTGGGGAGCCCAGAACTGGACACAGTACTCCAGATCTCCACGGGATGTCTACCCTGGGCCCTCCACAGCACCACAGAGCTTCCATTAGCTTTCCAGGCTGTGCTCTCCTGAAGGAAGAGCACCTATTTGTGATGCATGTTTGTACACTGTAGGGCACAACAGAGGTAGATGCCCCCAGGGCTAGCAGCAATCAGAAGTTCAGTCCTTCAGCCAATCTCTTTCTGCTTCTGATGCAAACGATGCCTTTTCAATTTAAGGTGTGTCCTGATGAGGGTCAGATTTATCTCACCTAACTTCTGATTACTCACAAGGTTCACCTCAGTTGAAAAATTTGGAACTTCCTGCTGCCTTTTCAGCCAATGGAGAGACACACAGGCATTTTTATGGCCCTATTTTATACATTTTCTATAGAATGCCATGAATCACTCAGCTCCATCAACTACACCTCAGGTGACTATTGAGGGAGCTGTGAAGAGTCCACACACAAAGAGCTACTGTCACAGGCGGCTGCATTTAGCCAGAAGGGGGAATGGAGGGATTCAGCCCGATGTCACAAGGACTCCAGGCACAGCAGACTGAGTATCCAAACTGTGCTGGTGGAAGGGCAGAGAGAAATCAGTCGCTCAACAAATGGTCAAACAAACCCCTTGACTTTATGTATATTGAAACTAAAATCTTACTAGTACAGAGGGATGAATAAGGAGAGAGGAACAAACGGGACAGTGGAGGAGTGAGTGATACCATGAAGCAGCCCACCTGGAAATGGACCTGAAGGGAAGGTCGTCCCGATGATATAGCGTGGATGCCCAGAACGTCTGGATTTTCACCCCGTGCTGACTACACACCTGGCACAGCCCCTTCTCCACATCCAGCTCCTCCTGCGTGGCCTGGGGAGAACAAAATGCAGTGAGGCCATGGCTGGGCGGCCTCAGCTCCTGCATGCACACAGACCCTGGTCTTGCTCTCCTCCCTCATCTCCCCATTTAGCTTCATCCCTTCAGAGAGAGGTGCTCACAGATAATCTCAAGAGTATTTCCCTCTCTGCCAAACCCAACAACTGTTGTCACTCTCCATTAGTAGTGCCAACGCCAGAATAAGGAAGTCCTTGACATAGGACATTGCAGATCTTTTAAGTTTGGAAGGACTGAAAAGGTGACTGGACAAGCGTATGTAAAAGAAACCCACTGAGGGTTACTGAGTATCAGGATAGCATAGCTGTTGCAAGAAGTCCTTGAGCCACAGGTTCTTGGAGGCTGGGAAAGTATTGAGGAGGAATATCTTTACAGATATTTCCTGTTCCTGTGGCGTTCCCTGGGCATCTGTTATTGGTCACTGTCAGGAAAAAGGCTGTGGAGTTAGATGAGGCCCTTTGTCTGATTCTCTGCCGTTGTTCTTAGTGCTGCATGGATTAAGGCACTGTGGGATGTGTTGGTCATCAACCTTGCTAATACTGAGTGCACCTACATATATACATACGTGTGTGTGTGTACACAAAGCCTCCAGGGCCAGTGGTTTGGATTCACAGCCCTCCATTAAATTCAGCAGGCTCTGGATCAAACCACTTAGCCCTGTGAAGACAAGTCAGTGACACACCAACCCCATCAGCAGTCCAGGACCGAATTCATGTTCTGTTCTTCAACACACTGGTGAGCAATGGCTTAAATATGGGTGCTGTCAACTCACCGTGGGCTTTTTCTACACTCAGTAGAATATCCCCCCTGGCAGCAATCTCCCTGTGCAAGGAAGGTGCCAGGAAAAGACAGCTTGATGCAAGCAGGAGAAGAAATGGACTCAGCTGATGTAAAACGCCAGTTGTCAGAACCTCCTCTTCCTCAAGACACAGCACTTGCAAGTGATCAGTCACAAACAGCCACTGTCATCCAGCAGGGGCTCCCACCCGGACACCTACAGCATCCCCATCCCAGGAGCTGACCAGTTTCTCCAGTGTTAACAACTCCACAGACAAGAAAGGCTCTGAAAACGCAGGGTCTGCATCACTATTTGATTGCGGAAGAAACCTCCACAACCTAAATTTATCTTTTAACAATGTCACTCAAATATTTCCCTTACCTCCTCATGGAAAGCCACAGCGCTGACAGAGCCCAGCTGAGTAATCAGATCACGGACCACATCTTCTGGCTTCCCCTTCCTCACAACCAGGGTACTGCAAACACAAAATACTGGCCTGAATTAGATTTGATGTTATTATGTATGTGTACAGAAGGTCCTAGTTCTGGCCCAGGCACCCATGTATTAGTTCTCTATGGAGCACGGACAGCATGTGGAGGCAGACAGACAGGATTTGACTAGCCTGCATTTTTTAGGACTCACTGAACACAGTCCATAAGCCTCTGGGGCTGAGTTTGTGTCAAACACATTCCTACCACCCCAGATGCCTTCAAAAGGATGACCGGGCAGAAAAGAAATGAGTTACCTAAAAGTAAATCTGTCAGATCTGTTCATCCTCACCCACTGAGGCTGAGATTCAAGAACTGATTCCTCTTTCAATCCCCTTCACAGGCAGTGGTGGCCTGTGGGCAGACCCCCCTCCACTCTCATGTGGGAGAATTCAGAGAAATTCTTTCCTCCGAACGCTCTGTGTTTGTAACAGAGTCAACAAAACTTCTCTCCCACCTTGCAACCTCACCAACTGCCCAGCTGTGTACCCAGGGCACCAGACCAAGAGAGAAGCTGTGGTGAGACATCTGGTCAGAGGTGTGTGCAGAGTTCTGCAAAGAGCCTCATATGTGACTTTGTCCCTTTACCTCTCTCGCTGTCATACACACACACACCTGCATCATCTAACAGAGGCTTGTGCTGCAGAAGAAGTCCTTGAAGGGGTAATATACAGAATATATTGCCAGAATAATTTAAAGCATAACTGAAAAGTTTCTTCAAAGATGGGCTGGGTCTGAGGAAGGCAGGAGCAAGGGGTGCTGCTAAGAGAGCTCTTCCCCTTACTTCCCACAGAAAAGCAGAGACCAAGCTGCCCACAGGGAACACCACAGATTGGATGTGGAGGAGATTTCTGACTACCACTGCATTAAGAAAATACTTCATGCTTGTGGAAACGAAGCCTAGGTCTTAGCATGGCTCTTCACAACCACACATCTCACTGCAGAAGACCAGTCTCTTACCACCCACTGACAACAGCACAGCAGCATCCAAGCAGCTCTGAATCTGTTCACCATAGGGTGTGGGTGCAGGTACCACCAATTAGGTCTTTCAATCTCCTGCAACGTTCACCACCTGCACAGTTCACACAGCACTGCAAACCCAGAGCCATTCTTCTTGCTTCTACAACCAGTTGTGCTGCTCTGGGAGAAGACAGGCTGGCTAAGACGTCTTCTGTTGTGTGAAGCCAGATGTTATCTGGTAACGGGACTCTTCAGCATGTAGGCCTTCAGGCCCTGGTCTAACCCAGTTATGATTTCTAAAGGTGTAATGCAGGAGGAATCCCTGAAGACTCCCTTCCCACAGTGTAGCCTATCAAAGAGATTGGGTTTAGTGGGACAGGGTATGAGTAATCTTAACTCTCCAGTCTCGCAAGCCAGGATCCATGTTGATCTGGAAGTAGACAGCGAGGGAAAACTTGCTAGGGACAAGGAAGGACAGATGCCACAGTGGCTACTGTCATTGCCTACATCTCAGAATTCCGTTGTTCATGTCTCCAATTGTCAGGACTCTGGGCAAAGAGCTTGAGGCAGATGCCCATGTGTGGTACCTGAGTTCAAGAAAGCAACACCCCACACGGCACACAGCCTGGAGGGCTCTTTGCTCCCTTGCGGATGCCGCAGCAGGTCATGTGAATAGGGGTTACGTATGGGACCTTGTGGTATATAACAAGGGCTGTGGCTCTCTAATGAGCCATCATCAGAGCACAGCGTATCTGACACGATTTGACTCACTGCCCAAATACTTGTTGAAAAAGAGAAAGAAAATAAAAGCAGGTGTTATTTGCACCATGCTTTCTCAACTACCTTCCTTTTTTCTTGAGTGTCTCTCTTAGATCCTTCACACTTTCCAGCAAAAACCTGAGCCGGTGGGGCCCCGTCTTTGGAAAGCCGTAGCAGTGGGTGCCCAGGTAGTGCCGCGGGTCGAAGCAGTAGAGGGGAACAACGAAATCCGCGTTGCCCTGAGCCCAGTGGAGCACCTGGAAACACAGAGAGAGGGCCATGGCAGCTCTCGGGGGCAGGATGCAGCGCGCACCCCTCCCCAGCCTACCCAAAAGCGGGGTTTTCTCTACAGAAATAGCCGAGGGGGGTGGACAGACGGGCCCTACCTGGTTATCGTGGGCGCGCAGGTCGCAGCGCAGCAGGCAGATGGCTGTCCTCGCCGCCCCCGACATGCTGCCTCCACGGGGCCGGTCTCGCCTCACCGTGGCCTCCCTCAGCCCGGCACCTCAGCCCGGCTCGGTTCGGCCCGGCTCCCTCCTCCCTCAGCCCGGCACCTCAGCCCGGCTCGGTTCGGCTCGGCCCCCTCTTCCCTCAGCCCGGTACCTCAACCCGGCTCGGCCCCCTCTTCCCTCAGCCCGGTACCTCAGCCCGGCTCGGCTCCCTTCTCCCTCAGCCCGGTACCTCAACCTGGCTCGGTTCGGCTCGGCTCACTCCTTCCTCAGCCCGGCTCCGCTCCCTCAGCCCGGCCCGGTTCCGCCCTCTCTCAGCCTGACCCCCTCAGCCCGGCCCGGTTCTGTCTTCCCTCAGCCTGACCCCCTTAGCCCAGCTCGGCTCCGTTCTCCCTCAGGCCCGGTTCCCTCACGCCTCGCTTCCCCTCAGCCCGCCCCTCCGGGGAGGAGCCGTCCCGCCTCCGGCTGCCGGCGGCCGCCTCCACCGCCTCCCCGCGGGCCCGCGGGACGGGCGGGTCCCCTCACGGCTCCGGGGTCCGGGTCGAGCCCTCAGCGGGGCCTGTGTGGGCGCGGAGGAGGCGGCGGGGGAGAAGGCCCCTTTCCCTTGCTCCGCCTTTCCGTGGCAGCCCCTCACCCTGCCCAGGCCAGTCACACTGATTGCTGAATATGGGGTTGTTTTGGTGTGATTTTTAACCTCGATAATATCTTTTCCACACAGCTGGGAGCCACCTCGCGCAGAAGTGTTGCCCCGTTGGTGCCGCCATGGTGAAACCCCTGCAAGGAGCACCGCTCACACGGCTCTCTCTGTTAATATTCATTAGTACTTAACCTCTAAGTGAGGTGCCAAGGCTGTGACATGGATGCACCCCTGCCTGCCAGCCAGCTTTGCGGATAGCTTTCTCTCTCACCTGTTGACTCACAAAAGGTGAGCTATAGATTAGCAATAATTAATGTTTTTTGACTGCCAGCACTGACAGCAGCAGCCAAAGTGTAAAGGCTTCCCTCATCCTATAGTTTTTGTAAGTCAACGCCGGACACCAGTGATAACACATCGCTTACTCATTGAATTGTCCCTCAGGATCCTTTTATTTTTCATTTGATGGCTCTCATAATAAGAGGAAATGCAAAAAAAAAAAAAAAAAAAAAAAAACCTCCAAACTCCTGCGGAGGTCGCCAGCCACATACTCCCCTTGGAACTCCACTGGCTCTCCTGTGGTGGGAGAGGATGGGGAAGGGGTGAACATGTTGCAGCAAGGAGCTGACAATGATTGGGGAGTCAAGTTTACTGAAATTAATTGCTGCAGCTCATTTAGGTACCTGAATTTCTGAAGTGGAGCTTTTGGTAGAGCCACGCGGACTCTTAGGTGCTCACCAGAGATTACTTGGGTACCCAAACCCCAGTGGGTTGGGAGTCCTGGCTGTATTTCCATCTCCTCCAGGCCTGCAGGTCCTCTGCATGCAACCTACATTGGCCTGCTGTGGGAAGTGATGCCAATTCCTTCTGTGACCCACATGACACATCATCTCCTGATTCCTTTTCCATGCAAGGGCTCCTTTTCCTGGCTCAGCAGACTGTAGCCCGCTGTAAGAGCCAGTGACTCATCTCAGAGGGCTCATGTTTAGTGAAAGAAAAGTGGAGCTGAAACTTTGGCTCACACCCAAGGAAAACACTGTTGTAGGCTTGCAGTGTATATGCCGTAGAAGCCAACACCTCTCTTTATCATATTAGAAATGAAGGGATTTTACAAATTCAGTTTGCCTTCATTTGGACAAGGACATACAGCACAGTTGGCTTCACTTTTGTTTGCAGTCAGGTTTCCCCCACAATGTCTTGGTTGACATTAAGTCTGGCAATATTGGCATCCTCTTGTAGCTTACTCATAGCAGCTTGACAGCCACCCACTTGCATCGCAACTTAAAAGAGATCTTATTTAATGGGTGTGCAAGAGAGAGGTGCCCTACTCCCTGCCATTGGCAGGGAGGGCTGGCTTCCACTGAACAGAAACCTCCCCAGTGCAAAGAAAGAGAAACGATTTGACTCTTGATATGCCAATGGGGAAACAGAAATGGGCTTAAAAGCAAGTGAGTCCTTGACAGATTTCTATTTGCACAGATATAAAGGATGTGAGGTGTCCAACATTGCAACAGTGGCAAGAGCACCAGGACAGACTGTTAAATGTAACGATCTAGGCAGCAAGAGCAGGCAGGAAAAACAGGTCCATAAAGGAGGAATAGTTTGCTCAGGCCCAGAACCCAGACCTCCTTACACCCAACACACAGCTGGAGGTCAGTTTTGCACTCTTTTAGGACACTCCTGTTGCACACTCAAGCCAGTGCTTCCTGAAATACTGCTGATTGCACCCATTCTATAGTCTACCCTGAGAATAAAGGATGAGAGTTTTTTCCTTACACAGTAGTTTCTCCTCCTTAGACTCTGCATGTACGTCTGCTCAGTCCCTGCTCCTGTGAGACCTTGTGAAATCATCCTCTGAAAATATGTGTAACGGGGGTGTTTAGGAAAAGCAGTTGTAAGGAGCACTTTGTTCCAAAATTAGAAACCAGGAGACCTGGCACTGTGAGCTGTGGGCTCTCCAGTCTCCTTGCCTGGATTTTCCATTCACATGAACACAGTCAAGAAGAACAAAAGCTTTGTGTTTTTTTCCACCAACACCTGTCTCTTTACTCCAAGATGGTGTTCCAGCTTTCCATTCTCCCTTTGGGAGAAGCTTTGCCAACAGGCACTGCAATACCAGCAATCTCCATGCCAGTATGGAGGGGAACAAGCCTTTCACCATCATTTTTGTTCTTTTAAGTATCCTCCAAGAAATGGCTTCCTTCCTGGAGCCCTGAAGTTGTTAATTAATTCATGGGACATGGAGGGAGGTTTGTGAACTTCGATGAAATTGCACAGGAGACCTGTGATGAAAGAATTGGATAGCCATGGACTATCCAGACCTAGAGGAAACCTAGGGACCAGGCTAGACAGCATCTAGCAATTGCTGCTTGCAATGTGAACAGCAGCATCTCTGTTTCTCAGAGATAACCCCATGGAACCCCAGGTCTTGGACAGACCCCAACTCCCAAGTCAATAAACATTTAGCAGTACTCTTCCCCTTGCTGCTCTGGCTGTTCTTTTTTGCTCATTAAAGCCATTTAGTGTTTCTTGTTTGTTCCTGGAGTTGAGTGTCAGAAATGTCTGTTGTACCCATCTTGGATAACAGAGCTATAGAATTGCACCTCATTGCTCCAGCAGTAAGTTCTCATTTTATGGCTTATGCAGAACAAATCTGTCAGAAAGACAAGCCAGTTTTGTGATAAAGCAACTGGAAGGGGGCTAAGCTCCCTCTCCTCTCCTCTCCTCTCCTCTCCCTCTCCTCTCTATACCTTTCTTGCTGTGGTGGAAGTTCAACAACAAATACACACCAACATTTTTGTTTTCCTCGACAGAAACTGGCTGCGATGAAGAACTGAGGCAAGAGTAGGCAGAAGTCTCCCTCAAGAGTGACAGCCTCCTGTTGAACAGCAGGTACAGCAGCAGCAGGTCCCACCGTGCACTGAGCAGCACTGCAAACAATCAGGTAGAAGGGGGCTATCACACATTGGCTGTGTATTCTTTTGAGAAGTTTTGATTATGTTAAAGGCTCACACTTGGTGACCCTTCCCCAGGACAACAAAGCTCTCATCTGCTGGAGAGTTCACCTCCAGCGTTGCTGTGTCATCACATCACTGATTTTGGCCTTTGACATGTCATCCGTTGATGTCCATGTTCACAAGCATCTGTGCCCAAATTCATTAATGACACATGCCACCATCTTCATTCAGGTGGTGTTGCGCGTGTTTGAAGTAACAAATTGGCCTGAATAATTTCCTCTTTCATTTTGGAAGTAACTTCCAACTGGTGCTTCTTTTAAGTCTCTGTGAGAATGAGGCCTTTGCATTTAGCTTGTCACGCATGAAAAGTTTGACATCGCTATTTGATGTTTTACTGAGTCTCCCTCTGAGCCCTTTACAGAATCTTGGATCATGTCATCATTAGCTGTTTTCATAGAAGCATAAAACCTCCATGATCAACATATAGTGCAGCACTGCTCAGAGACAGACTGCAGTGATTCTGTTACCAGACCTGCTGTATCCAAGCTCATGCTCTAATGTCTCTCTATGACAAATACAATTGCATTTACCTGGATTTGAGTAGCATGCTAAATCCTGCCCACCAGCGTGAAACACCTTTCTTTTCATGCATTTCTGATACTCTACCTAGATCTATCTTTCAGCTTTTTGAACCATTGGTAACAGTGGCAACCTGCCTTTAATGCTGAGACCTCCCGTTCCAGAGACAATGCTTTGATGTTTCAACGGCAAAAGACCTGGCACTCTCTTCTGTGGTGGAAGCAGAAGGACACAGCCCTGTTCAGAGCTGAGTTCACTGCCTCATAAATGCAGCCACTCTTCTTACTGGTCAGAGACTTTTCCCTGGTGTCATTTGTCATGTCTTCTGGTTTGGTGGGGTCTTGCCATCAGGGACCATCTGGCCTTGGTTCTGCTATGATCCTTCTTGTAGGAAAACATACAGACCGGTTGCTCTTTGTAGTTCAGCTTGTGACCACTATTCATTAAATCTGTCATTCCCTCTTCTGCCTTTCAGCAGTGTTTCCTCCATCAGGAACCTAATGACCCTCTGCAAGCTCCCATCCACCTATAATTACTGGACCTGTATGAGGTTTGCCAAGTGGCTTAAATACTGTTCAGCATCTCGTGTCAGCTACTGCTTATGGCTGTCATGTGGGTTTGCAACACACTCCCACCTGACTTATATTATGCCCCCAAAATACCAGAAAAAATATTTAGCCCGGGTAAAGGATCAGATGTGCAGAACTGCAACTGAAGTAGCTTAATATCAGTGAAGTGTATTCATATCCTTGGCTGATGTAATTCAACGTGGCTTCATTGGAGCTACCCGAGGATTTGCTTCAACCCTCAGTTGACTAAAAATGTCAGTTCAAAAGGCTTTTAAATCAAAAAAAGACATTGTGGTTTTGTGGTCGCAACTAGACCTGGGAACATTGTGTCTTTGTTGTGTTTTGATCCATGCTTCTCCCTGTGTTCTTGGAACGGATCGTTTCAACCCTCTACCTACAGCAGAATTTCTTCTGCTGGAAAATGGATGTAATCACTTCCCTATTGCACAGGGCGTTTTGAGTGGTGTCTGCCTTCATATCAGAGCCCATCTCTAACGGTGCTAATAAAAGCACAGAATATTCTAGACAGTACATTTATAGAAGGGTACAGTCAAGTCATCTTAGATGTTTAAAACCAGAGATCCAAATGTTACTGTCCCCTGGGTTAAATCAAAAGTCACTAGCCCGTTTCTGACATGCAGG